CTACCACTTGAGCCACATCCCCAGCCCAAAACCTGCATTCTTGAAATTTGTGGTTTCCTGAATTTTTTTGTTTGTTGCTGGAGACTGAACTTAGCACCTGTACATGTTAAGCAAGAACTCTATCACTGAGCTATACCTCTGGCCCTTTGCTTTTTTTCTTTTTTGGAGGGGTGGGGAAAACTTGAGTTTTTCTATCCAGAAACATATTGCTTCATTTACCTAGTTTTTCTTTTTTTTTTTTTTCTTTTTAGTTATACATGGATATAATACCTTTATTTATTATTCAAAATGTGGTGCTGAGGATCAAACCCATAGCCTCACACATGCTAGGCAAGCGCTCTACCACTGAGCCCCAGCCCCAGCCCCAGCCCCAGCCCCTAGTTTCTTTTTTTTTATTATCATAGTTTTTTAAAAAAGGTGTTATTTTATTAAAATAGGCTTTGAGCATTGGCTATTCTTAGATATTTTGTATTTTTTGGTAACATTAGAAAGAGTTTTTTTATTGTAATTACTTTTTGTTGTTGCTGGTGATTCAACCCAAGGCCTCACACATGCTAAGCATGCATTCTACCACTGAATTATACTTCCAACTCCATATCTGATTGTTGATAATGTAGAGGAAAGCTATCAATTTTGGTGTGTTGATATTGTATCCAATAGCTATAGCATTTAAGTTTCCATTTATAAAATTAAACTTAATTCCTTTCAGGGAAAGTAGTTATTTTGCTTAATATTAAGTGTAAGGACTCATCAAAAACTTAAATCCAAAATGTGGCATGGTGGTACAAGCCTATAATTAACAGGGGTGCTGAGGCAAGAGGATCATGAGTTCAAGGCCAGCCTGAGCAATTCAGGGAGACCCTTAGCAACTTAGAAAGACCCTGTTTCAAAATAAAAAGAGCTGACTTTACCTATCAAGTGCTTGAGTAGTATACATCCTCCAATTTACTCCCTTTCTCTAATCTCCTAATTTTCAGAAATTGCTTAAAACAGGTCCAGTTTTCTGATTGAGAAATTTATTTTTAGGTGCTTATTTATTTTTTTAAAATATTTTTTAGTTGTGGTTGACACAATACCTTTATTTACTTATTTATTTTTTACATGGTGCTGAGGATCGAACAACAGCACTCTATCGCTGAGCTACAACCACAGCCCCATTAAGTGCTTATTTCTATAGCTCAATTACATTGATTTTTATTTGCATTCAGTTCCCTTTCCATTTTTAAATTATTTTAATTGATGACTTTTGTTCATTATATTTTTACAGTATGGCAAGTGGTATTATTTGTGGTGTCAATATGAAATTTAAAAAAAATAAATTTAAATTGAAAGTCAAAAAAAAAAATTAAAAGGGCTGGCAGGCAAGTTGTCACAAGCCTGTAATCTTAGCAAAGTGGGAGCCTGAGAGAGGAGGATTGCAAGTAAGAGAGCAGCCTAAGTGATTTAGTAAGGCCCCAAGCAACTTAGAAGACCCTGTCTCAAAATAATAAGTTTAAGAAAAGGTTTGGGGATGTGGCTCAATCCCAGGTACTAAAAAATAAATAGGGCTAAGGCTATACAGTTCAGTAGCAAAACACCCTGAGTTCAATCAATAATACCAAAACAAAATAAACAAAAAACTTAAATCCTTAATTTATTATAGCATTTAAAATGTTCCTATATGGGGCTGRGGATGTGGCTCAATCGGTAGCATGCTCACCTGGCATGCGTGTGGTCCGGGTTCGATCCTCAGCACCACATACAAACAAAGATGTTATGTCCGCCGAAAACTAAAAATAAATAAATATTTTAAAAAATAAAATAAAATGTTCCTATAACTTGGCATGTGAATATCTAGTGGAGAGGATCTTTATCTCATATTCAAAATAGAATGTAATCAATGACAATCTAGTCTCACTTCCCATTTATTTAGTGGTATGTGCTGGGGACTGGAGCCAGAGACTCATGAATGCAAAGCACATATCCTATAATTGAGCTACATTCATGGTCACTTCACCCTTCTCTTCTGAATCTCCACCTTTTTCTAAGTATTAAGTCTAGCTCATAAATTTTTCAAGGTCACCTACTGGATTTCCTTTGCCTTTCTGGATTTCCTTCCACTCATTAGGCTGTGGATTATTTGAGCATTGGGATTGTATCTTTCCTTTCCAGTATAATCCTGGATAAATAATTAGTAAGCAAATAATGAGAAATGATTGCTTCTTCCTCTGTATTCCACATTATACTGTCTATTAGCACTTATTTTTGCTATAAAATATGATTTTATTATAGCACAATGTTTATTTGTCTAGCTTCCTCTTCTGACTAAATTCCAGAAAGCAGAAAATGAGTCAGATTTCTCTCTTAACCTTCTCAGCACCTAATACAGAACCAGACAATTAATGACTGAGTCAAGTATAAAAGGGCTCAATTTTTATTGATGTATTTACTTATTGTGAAGATGGGGATTGAACCCAGGGCCTGACAAACACTATGCAAACACACTACCACCGAACTACCCACCTCCCCAGCCCTTAGAATTTTATTTATTTATTTATTCATTCATTCATTTATTCATTCTGGGGCTTGAATACAGTGGTGCTTTACCACCAAGCTGTATCCCCAGTTCTTATTTTTTTGGTATTGGGGGTTGAACTCAGATGTGCTTTACTACTGAGTTACATTCCCAGACCTTTTTATTTTGTTTTACTTAAAAAAAATTTTTTTGAAACTGTATCTTGCTAAGTTGTTGAGGGTCTCACTACTTTGCCGAGGCTGGCCATAACCTTGTGATCCTCCTGTCCCAGCCTCCCGAGTCGCTCAGAGGCATGTGCCACAACACCCAGCTCTCAACGTATTTTAATGAGGCCAAGCTGTTCTTACTAATTTCGGGAAAATAGGGGCACTTGAAAAGCCTCATCTTTATGGGAGATTTATCCCATAAAGATTTAACCCGCTGGCACCATCTAGTACCGAATGAAGGTGGTGCACTTTTACTGACACTACAGAAGGGGCACTCAAGTACCGTCCTTCAGGCTCACCTGGCTGTTAAGGCTGAGCACCTCACCGTTCTGACGGTCTCAAATTGCATAAACCTCCAATTCTTGAAGTTCCCAATGTCATCAACTTGAAGAAATCGAAACTTCATCAGGACAATAGGTTCAGAGTTCAAACCACCTGGGGGTGGAGCTAGCTAGGGAAAAGTACAGTTAACCAGCGGTTTATTGCTGTGCAGAACGCGGCCTAAAGCGCTCCAGACGCTCCCACTGGGGCAGCCGGGGCAGCCGGGGCAGCCGGGGCAGCCGGGGCAGCCGGGGCAGCCGGGGCAGCCGGGGCACCCGACACGCCCCGCGGGAAACTGTCAAACGCCAAAGCCCCGACAAGCAGAGGGCGCTGAGCTCGCCTCCCGCGGCTGGGCGGGAGCAGCGCGTGTCGCACCCCCACCAGCCCGGCCAGGCCGACGATCCGACCACCGCCGACCCCAGCTCCCCGCGGGCACTTGAAGCTCCGGCGTTTAGGTCCCGCGGGCCGGGATGACCAGGCCCCGGGTGCCCCAGAGGCGGCCACGAACCCGCCGCCCCCGAACTTCTCCTCGGTCCTCCCCAATCAGAAGCGGACCATCTCCTCAGCACCCCTTCCCCCACCCCGGTGCCCTTTCGGCCTCCCGCGAACGTACAGAACCGGGAGTTTGGAACCAGGGGCCCCGCCTACCTGAGGGCCCGGCCGGGCGGACCGCACGGGAAGAGCACTTCCGCCAGACGCACGCACTTCCGGCTTCCTAGAGCCAATGAGAGTGCGGCCGCGGTGCCCTCCTGTGTGGCGTCCGGGCAGCGATCCTCTCCGGGAAGACTGGGTCCGTTATGGCCGTGAGAGCGTGGTAAGCCCCCCACCCTCACCCCCTGGGCTCCGCGGGAGAGGCAGCCCGGGACTCCTTCTTGTCCGGGCGGTGGGGAATGCAATCATGTTCACACCTTGACCATTATCTTCTTCTGTGGAACCCAAACTTGGTAAATTTGCCTCTGACCTTCACCTTGGGGCGGAATTCTCCCCTTCCAGTAGCGAGGCGAGGGCAGGCACCTGGGCTTGGCGGGGGCGGAGGAGGCGGCCCTCCACCGAGGAGATTGCCCTTCCTTCCAGTCTGTGAAAAAGCCGGGTCCACTTTCCTGAAGGCAATTTGAGACGCAGGGCTCTAGCTGTTGGGCAGCACCTTTAAAAATTCCCCAGAAGTGGGTGTCCAGGGGAATTCCCAGAGTGGGGGGACTCTGGACTCAGGACACCGGTCCTGGACGTTCCTGGAGGAAGAGCTTCAGCGCTGTCAGTAAGTCAACAGAGGTTGATTTAGGAAAGCAAGGAGTACAAACTCAAGGAAGAATGCGGGCCATCTGGAAAGTTGGAGGTTCCCAACTCTTGAAGGAAACTTGGTGAGGCATGGGTATGGGAAGGTGTGTAAAGATGACATCAGTCCCAGGATCTCAGGATGGTTTATGACACTCTGGTCATTCTCAGGATGCTCTGGCTTAGGTGGTCTCTCCATTATCTTAACTGATAGATAAAGCTTGGAATATCCCCTAAATTATAGATTTCTTAAAATGTTCTTAACCTGAAAATTTCTCTTAATATATTTATTGGTGGGCTAATTAGCAGTGCGCACGATTATTTTCATAAGTGGTTGAACTAGCAGTAATCTTTTTTTTTTTAAAGAGAGAGAGAGAGAAAATTTTTAATATTTATTTTTTAGTTCTCGGCGGACACAACATCCTTGTTGGTATGTGGTGCTGAGGATCGAACCCGGGCCGCACGCATGCCAGGGGAGCGCGCCACCGCTTGAGCCACATCCCCAGCCCAGCAGTAATCTTAAGATTTACAGATTTCCCCGAAATTTGGGAGTAACAGATCTGGGAGAGAGACTGTCTTGGGGAATGACAGACCTGGAAAAGTATGCAGTATTTCCGAATTAAAATTTTATTTCCATGTCCTTCATGTCTCCTTCCTAACTTTTTTTCTTTTTCTCTCCTACTTCTATCATACTGTAATCCATAGGGCATTACAGCAAAACTGTCTCCAGGGTACAGCTATTAAATTTCGTATGTCAGCCTCTAAGGGCAAACTTCCAACTTTGAATATCATAGGACTCTGCGAAATGAAATGTTTCTGTAGGATTTGTCTCATCATAGAGTTCCTTATTACAATCAATTTTTCCTCAGTTACAATTTGGATATGAAACCATTTTTCTAGACCATATTTTAGCCTACCTTGCAAAACACTTCAGATTCAAAGGAAACCACCTGTTAAGTTAAAGCAATTATCTTCAATTTTTGGTATGTTAATGTATGCGGAGATGTCAACATTTTGAGTAAAATTCAACTCTCAGTGACAAATAGTGCCAAACAAAACAAAACTGGAAAATATGCTTCCTTGTTTTACATATTTGAAAAATTTGTTGAATAAACCCTTGCTCACAGTGTACTTCTCTTAATTTTATTTACTTGTTTATTTGTTATTTATTTCTTGAAATAGTAGGATTTGAGCCCAGGGGTTCTTTACCACTGAGCTACATCCCCAGCCCTTGTTATTTTAAGATAGGGTCACTAAGTTGCTAAGGCTGCCCTTGAACTTTGTGATCCTCCTGCCTCAGCCTCCAGAGAGGCAGAGATTACAGAACTGCACCACAGTGCCTGGCTACTTCCCTTAATTTTAATGATGATGGTAAAGTATTCTATTCAGGTATTCATGCTAGTTTGAGTGTGTGCAATCTTGGAAGGTATGCAGGAAAGGTCTTACTATGTAGGCATTGTAATTGCCCTTTCTCAGTGACTTAATCTGATTTAGCATTTCTGTGCTGAGGGTGTTCTTACATGCCTTGGKTTCTTGTTTAGAGTTAATGAATAATGAAAACATTCCTAGTGCATTGGTTTGGGTTCCGGTTAGAGAAAGAGGAATATTAGGCAGATCAGTCACAGTAGACAKAACTGAGCAAAGTATCCTCATCTGAGAATCGTAACTGGGAAATCAGATAGATGTTATGTGGAAGCTGAAGAAGTTTAGGACACTTCATCTTGGACTTGGGATGGGATCCCAGAGAACAAGTAGGGAAAATGCTAGAGCAAATGATATTCTAGCGAGTATCAAGAGTTACCATGAATCAAGGGCCTCCAGACACCTGGTCCGCATTTAAATATCTACCAGCAGATAGTTTATGCCATTGTAAGTTTTTCATAATAGATAAGAACATGAATTTTTAGAATGAAGCATGTTACTCTAGCTGTGAGATATCCTGAGAAAATTAATTTGCCTGTCTGGGCTTTAGTTTCCTCATCTTTTTTTTTTTTTTAAAGGCAAGAGTGTAGGGTGGTGATAATAGTGTTGCCTTACTGGGTTGTCCTAAGAATTGTGTGAGAGTGCAGCGTGTGGCTAGGCTCATAAGAAGAATCCAGTGAATATTGCTTTTGTTGTTATTACCGTCATCGTCATCATCATTGTGAAATAAATAAATTGGATTTATATGTACAAGGAACATGCCCATCCAAAGAGACCAAGCAGATGATTCCTATCAAAAGCACAGAAGACAAAATGAGGATTCCATCAACAGGACCCAGATGCTTTCTTCTCTGTCGTGAATTTCCCATCCCCAGCTCATCTTAGCGAACCACTGATATGCCTCTCTCATAGGTTAAATTATCTAACACTTCATACAACTAGAAAACTACAGTGTGTACTTTTTGGTGTTCTGGTGCTTTTCACTGAAAATGTGAAATTTGTCCATGTTATTTGTATCAAGTAAAATGTTTTATAACTTATTCCTTTAAATAGATAGATAGCATTTTCTTACTCATTCATTCCTCTCTTGATTGACATTTGAGTTTTTGAATGGTTTCCCAGTTTGTTGTTATTATGTATAGTGACACAGTTCTCGTGGGATTCTAGTTAGTTCTCACAGAGGTATTATTGAAGAGTAAAACTGGCCTATCTGCACTTTGGCTTCCTGTCACTGTCTGATCTCTGTCCCTCACATGAGCTGCTGCTGTGATACCAACTGTCAAAAAGCCCTCACCAGAGGATGAATTTTGGACTATCAACCTCCAAAACTGTGAGCCTCTTRTCCTTACATATTACCCAGCCTCAGGTATTTTGTAATAGCATTGGRAAACAGACCACTTCAATACCTCAGATTCAACCTCTATAAAACAGTAGTCGTTATCTTTTTTTTTTTTTTTTYCCCTTTTGTACCTGGGATTGGACCCAAGGGCACCTAACCACTGAGTTACATCTTCAGCCCTTTTTTGTTTTGAAACAGGGTCTTGCTAAGTTACTGAGGCTGGCCTCAGCCT